CAGCGAAGTAATCCAAAGAAAATTAGGTGTAGAGAATCAGTAAATATAGCAAACTTATTTAAAAAATTAGATGGCATAAATAAAACATTAAATTATTCAAAAACCCCATTTCAGGAAAAGAGAGGCAACTAAATTATACCTTTGAATTGAGATTGATTAAATAATTACAACTACTAAAATTTTCTAAGAGAATTATAGGAGAGCCATAAAAAATAATAGTACCAATGTGAGCCTATGGCTCCATATTCTAAAACCTCAAACATATAGAGTATTTAATAGGCAACACAAATGATGAAAACTTACCTAAGAAGAAAAAAAAACTTTGTTAGAGAAATTACCTATGAAAATTTTAGAAGGGCAATTGAAGATTCCCAATTTAAAGGTTAAATACCAAGACTAGGTATAAAATATGAAGGGAAACCCACAACTCATTTAATAAATCCAGTATTTTCTTTATATAAATACAAAAAAGAACAAGAGCAATAACAAAAAAAAACTACTGTAGACCTGTCTCATTCATGCAGGCAAAGCAATTCTAAATAAAGTGCTGAGAAACCAAAACTTAAAATGATAAAATAAATATGCACTGGGGTCATTAGTATTTATATCAGGAAATGCAAGATCTTTAAATATTGGGAAAATCTTTCCGCTTACCATAATCTATGACATCATTCAATCAATGGAGAAAACCCATTTGACTAATATCAATATGTTATAAAGTCATTTGATAAACCCAGCGGACATCCAAATAAAAATTACTAGTAAAGAAGGCACAGGAGGCAACTATTTAAATATCATAGAGACTGCCAAAACCACCAACAAATTAACAGATGACTGTTTTCTCCCATATTATTCAATATTGTTTATAAGTTTTAGTAAGTACAATATAACAAGAAAATAAAATACTCATTGGAAATATTGAGTCTAGAAGTCTATATGGAAACTTGATTTGTGATAAAACAGATATTTCAATTTGGTGGAAAATAGGTGATTTATTTATTCAATGGTAATGATAGAACTGACTATCCATCTGGAATGAAAAATGAACCTAGAAATTAGAAAGAATCAGGGAATCTGAATAGACAGATTACAACTGGGGAAAGTAAAGCAGTACTTGAAGGAGTTCCAACAAACGATACCCTGGACTGGATAGATTTACAGGAAAAATTTACCAAACAATCAAAGAAGAACTAACACTTATCCTTCTCGAACTGTTTCAAAATATTCAAGAGGAAGAAAGATTCCCAGTTCATTTTATGAAGCCAGCATTAACCTAATTCCAAAACCAGATAAAGACACTATAAAGAAAGAAAATTATAGGTCAATATCCCTGATGAACATAGATGCTAAAATCCTCAACAAAATATTAGCAAACCACTCCATCAATATATTAAAAAGATCATACATCATGATCAAGAGAGATTTATTCCAGGGATGCAAGGTTGGAACAATATGTGCAAGTAAAATTAACATAATATACTACATAAATAAAATGGAGGATAAAAATCATATGATCATATGAATAGTTGCATAAAAGGATTTGATGAAATCCGGTACCCATTTATGATAAAAATTCTCAAGAAAGTTGAGAATTTAAAGGAAACATACCTCAACATAATAAAGGCCATATGTGACAAACCCACAGCCAATGACATAATCAACGGGCAAAAATTAAAAGTGTTTCCCTTAAGATTGGGAATAAGACAGGAAGGTTCACTTTTCCTCCTCTTATTAAACATAACTGGAAGTTCTAGCTACAGCAATCAGTAAAGAAGAAGAAATGCCCTGATCAGGTGACTTGGTTGGAGCATTGTCCCACATACCAAAAGTTTGCAGGTTGAATCCATGATCAGGGCACACACTTAAGTTGAGGGGTTGATCCTCAGTTGGGACTCATATGGGAGGCAACTGATAATTTTTTTCTCATATCAATGTTTCTCTATCTTTCTCCTTTTTCTCTCTCTAAAATCAATAAATATATCTCCAGGTGAAGACTTCAAAAAGAAGAAGGAGGAGGAACAGGAGAAGAAAGATGAGAAGGAGAAGGAAGAGGAGGAGAAGAAGATCTAAAAGGCATCAAAATTGTAAAGGAAGAAGTAAAACTGTAATTATTTGCAGATAACATGATAGTTATATAAAGAACCCTAAAGATGCTACCAAAAACTACTACAACTGAAAAATGAATTCAATAAAATAGTAGGATACAAAATTAATATTCAGAAATCAGTGAAATTTTATAATTCAATAATGAACTATCACAATGAGAAACTAAGAAAACAGCCACACTTACAATTGCAAGATAAAATAAGGTACCTAGGAATAAATTTAACCAAGGAGATAAAAGACTTGTACTAAAAAATTACACAATACCGAAGAAAGGAATTGAGAAGATACAAATAAGTGGAAACATATACCATATCCATGGATAGAAAGAATTAACATCATTAAAATATCCATATTACCCAAAGCAAGCTATAGATTCAACTCAATTCCTAAAGAAAGAATAATGGTGTACTTCAAAGAACTAGAACAAATATTTGAAAACTTATATGGAACTACAAAAGACCCTGGATAGCCACAATAATCTTGAGAAAGAAGAACAAATTTGAAGAAATCTCACCACATTGCATCAAACTATAAGTTCATGGTAATCAAAACAGCATGGTACTGACATAAAAAGAAACATATAAAGCAATAGAACAGCACAGAGGGCTAAAGAAATAAACCCATGCTTTTATATCAATTAATATTTGACAAAGAAAACAAGAACATACAGTGGGGTAAAGATAGTCTATACAATAAATTATGTTGAGAAAATTGGACAGATAGTGCAAAAAAAATAGACAACCTTCTTACACTACACAAAGAAAAAACTCAATGTGGATTAAAAACTTAAATGTTAGACATGAAACCATAAAAATCCTAGAAGAAAACACAGGCATAAAATATCAGATATTTCTCATAACAATATTTTTTTGATATATCTCCTTGGGCAAGGGAAACAAAAAAATAAATGGGACTACATTAAACTAAAAAGTTTTTGCACAGCAAAGGAAACCAACAATGAAATGAAAAGACAGCCCATTGAATCGGAGGGCATATTCTCCAATGATACATCTGATAAGTGATTAATATACAAATTTTATAAAAAACTTAAGCAACTGAAAACCTCCAAAAAATCCAATTAAAAAATTAGCAAGGGACTTGAATACACACTTCTTAAAAGAGGACATACAGATGGCCCATAGACATATGAAAAGATGTTCAGTGTCACTAATCATCAGACAATGCAAATTAAAACCACAATAAGATACCACCTCACATTGGTCAGAACAGATCAACAAACAAGTGTTGGTGAGGATGTGGAGAAAAGGGAAACCTCATGCATTATTGATGGGATTGCAGATTGGTGCAGCCACAGTAGAAAGTATTATGGAATTACATCAAAAAATTAAAAATGGAACTACCTTAAGACCCAGTGATTCCACTTCTGGGAATATATTCAAAGAAATCCAAATCATTAATTCAAAAGAATATGTGCACCCCTGTGTTCATTGTACTATTATTTACAACAGCCAACGTTTGGAAGCAGCTCAAGTGACCATCAGTAGATGAGTGGGGTGAAAAAGCCGTGGTATGTTTACACTATGAAACACTACTCTGCTGTAAAAAGAAGGACTTTTACCTCTTGCAGCAGCATGGATGGACCTGGAAAATATTATGCTGCATGAAATAAGCCAGTCAGAGAAAGACAAATACCACATGATTTCACTTACAGGTGGAATGTGATGAACAAACTAAACTAACATACCGAATAGAAACAGACTCATAGATTCAGAGAACAGACTGACAGCTGCCAGAGGATAGGGGGTTTGGGAGTGAAAAAAAGTGAAGGGATTAAGGAGAAAAAACAACCTGGTAGAAACAGACAACAGTATGGTGATTACCAGAGGGAAAGGGGAGGGGAGGAAGTATGAGAGGGTGAAGGGGGATAAATGATGATGGAAGGAGACTTGACTTGGGGTGGTGAACACACAATACAGATTATGCATTATAGAATTGTACCTCTGAAACCTATATAATCTTATTGTCCAATGTCACCCCAATAAATTCAGTAAAAATTAATAAAAAAGTATAATGAATACATAGACCAAAATTTAAATACAGAAATAATTTTTTTAGAAAAATAGAGGATATCAGAGAAAATCATGAAATGATTCTCTATTCATCTGTTAGCAACTAAATCTAATTATAGTTATAAAATTGTATCATTTTATGTAGTTCCTATCAAGAAAATTAAATCAAGTGATAACACCTGCTGGTTGCAATGATGTAGTATTCTCATTCATTGCTGATGAAAACACATTTTTTTTCATAATCAGGGGAGCTTGCAGCTTTTTTTAATTACGGGAGGGGGAAAGTACACAAGCCTAAGCAAAAATCCTGCTTGTGAAAATTTTAGGAACACAAAGGTTCTGTTAGAAAGGAGAATAGAAACTGAAAACTTGAAGAACCAGAAGTGGATAACCCTTTCCAAAAAGTGACTGGAGAAATGATTCCCTGGTCCAAATAGTCAGGAACAGATAGCTAGGTATTTCCAGGAGAAAAGCATACGATTATCAAATTTTGATGCCATTATCCTTTACATAACAATACATCATCATTAAACATCATTTGTAGTTAAATTTCCCATCTACGTCATTCTACAGTGAAAGAATGTTCCTCTAAGTCCACATAAGCCTGTTGTACAATCAGAATTTGATTGTATTTCTTGTATTTCTTTCCTTGTATTTCTTTCAGGCATTTTTAGCAGGAGTTAAAAGTCTTGTTATCTAGACCAAGGGGAAACTGACAAAATAGTGATTCTTAAATCCTCAAGCAAAAGCCCATATCCTGATATAATAAAATCAGGAAGATAAATTATATATTTTGCGGCTTTTAGCTGTGCAGATTCTTCACCATCATCTTAACCACTGAAATCATCTTTTAAAATACAATACATAGTTACCTGGCAGGGGACATACCATGATCACAAAGGTGGTTTTCCCAGGGCAAGGCTTATCCATTGCACTTCAGATGTGCTGACCCCTGTGATTTCCCCAAATGTGGAAAACTTGAGACATACTTTGTGATCACAGGGGACTGCATTCGTGCTCTCCCCTGTGAAAAAAATTCATCACAAGTCCTTTGCCCATTTTTTAATTGGGTTGCTTGTCTTCTTAGAGTGGAGTTGTGTGAGTTCTTTATATATTTTGGAGATTAAACCCTTGTCTGTGGCACCATTGGCAAATATGTTTGCCCATATGTTTGGTTGGTTCTCTTTTTATTTTAATTCTATTTTCTTTAGCTGTGCAGAAACTTTTTATTTTGATGAGATCCCATTTGTTTATTCTTTCCTTTATGTCCTGTGGGCTGGGGTAGGGGGAAAAGGCAGAAAACTATACTTGAATAATAATTAAAATAAAAGTAAATAAATAAAATAAAAATAAATAAATAGAATCTTTTAAAAAAGATGAAAAAAGTCAGGTATAGTAAAAAAATACAGTAGAGCCTTTTCTTCCTTCTTTTCTGTGTTCACTTTCTAACTTCTAGTCTAAATCTCTTGTCTGAGCTCCATAACAATTTGTCCAACATTTTATGGCATCATTGTTGGATGTACAAATTCCAGTACACCAAAAGCCCAATGATCTCCCACCCCTTATCCACTCCCACATTTTGCCTTTCTCTAGTTTCCCAGTTTCAGGGTATGGCATTGCTAGTTGAACAAGCTAGAAAATGAGGAGCTATCTTTGACACACCTTCAGGTTCGATTCATCAATGGTTCTTTTGAAATTTTCACTTAAACATCTCTCAAATTAATCTACTTCCACTCCATTTGCTCTTTCAGCACAGTACATTTACTCATATTACCAACACCTCTGCCTGAACTGTTGTAACAGCCAGCTAGCCAGCGTCCTCTTAGTTTCAGAATTCCCAACCTCAATATAATCTCCATCCTATAACTTAAATAATCCTTCAGTAAGAATCACCTCTGCAATAAAATATTTCAGTAATTTTCTCTTAGAATAAAGACCCAAATGTTTCAATGGCCAACAGGATTCTACGTACACTGACCCTCAACTCCTTGGTCTCAGCTTACGATGCTCTTTGACTTTTCTCTCTGTATTTCAGACATGTTTCTGCCTCTTCTGCTGATTTTGCTGCCTCCTGTTTCAAGAAGACCATTGTTCCCTTTCTCAGGAACATTTCCTAACCCCTTCCTTCATCAAATGTACCTAGTATCTTCTGTTCACAAGTAGATCTCAGCTGAGATTAGACTTCTCTGTGTTTACAGTCCAGCACATTTTATAGTTTGTATCCCTGTCTGAATGATTACTTAGTATTGTCACCTTCACTCCCACAAACTCTTAGTTCTATGAAGGCAAAGTCTACATCTCTTTTAAACTACTTTATTTTTTGTCCCCCACGCAGGACCCAACACAAAGGTGATGCTCTGTACATATCTACCGCACAAACAGTTTGGCTGTGGTCTTTCTAAATGTGACATCCCATAATTCTCTCCTACTTTCATCCTTAGGTAATTAATCTTGGTTTTAGTCATCTTGATAATTTTGCTGTATTCTCCATATTATCAGTATTTATACTATAATCTTCATTCATTCTCTGTTTTGTGGTTTTATGATTTATGATATTATATTTTAAGATTCTAAATTAAGGTTTTTTTTCCTATAAACATGGTTATATTTAAGGTTTCTATAAAGTAGGCTGTATATAGTCTCTATAATGAAATACAAAGGTGAGCAAATGTGATATATACAGGAAGTAGAAAATGAGTAGGAATTTATATTGAAGAAATATGGACAAATGACTATAGGCTATATTTATGGGCTTGAAGTTCCTGGGGGAAGTTTTGTATCTTAACTATGTCTGTATAATTTACAACACTCAGGACAGGGGCTTGCACTTATTGGGCAGTCAATCATATATAATGAATTAAATGTTTCATTAAAAAACTTTTGTAAGAAATTAGCATTTGCTATATAAACATTGCATGTTGAGATAATTATTTTGTCCCATTTAAATTATCACACAAATAAGGTTCAAATAAGAACCTTCATATATGAATACTATAAATAACACATTTATGTAGCAATATATATTTTCTTCAAGATTAATTTAAATGTGAATAAATTTGTCCCTATTAAAAATAAGTCAATTTAGACTTAACATATTAACTTGAGAAAGCATCAGATCAAATTTACTAGGTTCATTAAGCTGAGAGAATTTAATTTCAGAAATTTGTACTTCTTACTAATAGTTTCTAAGAGTAATATTTAGCAGCTTGTCAAATATGTGCTTATTTATCATGTAAATTGATATTAGATATTAGAACAAGCAACTAGTTTTAAGTATTTATTTTTGCAGACTCATAAAGTGTTTATAATCTAAAATTTTAATAAAGTAGTACACTACTAAACATTTTAGATGAGATTGGCCACATTCAGGGTGGTATGGCAGTAGACATATACCACTAAGCATTTTAATAAAGTAGTACATTATTTGCCTGAGACAAAGTTGCTTCATCTATAATAGGGATTAATGTTACTTCTCTTTAGCTTCAACTATACAAAAATCTCAGACTATCTCTGAGTTACTCTACTCATTAACATTCTTGATTCACCAGCTGTGTCTTGATTGGGTGGATTGGTACTGGATGGTATTACTAAGAGCGAAGCTAAAAATATTTATTAATATTGATATCTCACATAAGAACACACTGAAATATTTTTAAAACAGCTTAAATTTTGTGACATATGCAGTAAATGCAGTGGAAATTATTCTCATTTGGAAATTTTCCAGGAGTATCTTGATGTGCTTTAAAGTAAATCTGAGATTGCAAAGAATTCAAGTAGCATGCAAATGGCAACTATATTTATTTAAAAAATAAAAAAAACCACAGATATAAAGCTGCAAAACCTTTACTGTCTGTCACAATAACAAAAAAAAACACAGGTAAATAGTAAGTTTCAATCACAACATTCAGATTTTAACCTTACATCTTTCAGTTGTTATTTTGTTTACAGAAAGCCTGAGTCTGGTGAGACTTCCCTGTCTTAATAAAAAGCATTCATTCTGACTTTTCATTGATGTTGCTTCCTTTTTATTCACTCCTTCTTTGATTAGTCATTCTCTTTCTAAAATAACTAGAATTCACTGCCTACTGAATATAAATCCTTTTTTATTTACAAGGCTTGAATAATGTGTGTGTGGGGAGGGGTGGTTTTAAAAGTTTGAAAATATGTACTTCGTGGTTTTTATGTAATAGTCCTCATATTGCTCAGTGAAAATTTTACATCATAAGAAAAATTTCAGGATTTAGGTATCATCTAAATTCTTATGTGCTGACTTGTTTTTGACAGTTTTCAGAATATACTAGAACATGCCTAGTACACAGTTTTGGTGAAATGCATATACGGGTGCTGTATTGTGAATCAGTTCTGTACACACAGTCACCACTAGGACACTCAAATTATTTCAGAGTTTTCTGGAAAAAATGTAATAAAGTGGGAAAAGCACAATCCTAGACTAAGAAAGACCTGAGTTTGGATCCAAGCTCAACTGCTTAATAGTTATGTAAGTTTAGATTTGTCATTTATCTGCCTGAGATAGAGGTGCCTCATCTATAAAATGGAGATTAATGCTACCTTTCTTCAGTCTTAATAATACATATAAAGAGTCAAGTATATAGTCAGGAATCAATATTTAGCTATTATTTATCAACTGAAAACAAAGGCCAATTTTGTGTGTGGGGGTTTTGAATGATTGTTACAGTGATTACAAGACTGCTCATATATTACCACAACCCTCTCATCATGGACTATCAGGAATCTTTACTGATTCATGTCCATGGTTACCACTTTGGATTTAGTTTATTATGTATAGGTATATGATATATATGTTTATTTAACAGCCACCAATCTCTTATTTTTTCTTTTACTCAGCTAGAGAAAGAACGATACTGCTTCTTTAAATAGTATAAAAACCTACACATTGACGTAACAGTTTTGTTTTGTTTTGGTTTTGACTGGTGAAATGACCTATGAGAATGTCAAAGAGCCTGCCATAGAACTCAGTATTTATACTTTCAGAATATTTTCAAGTTCTAATACATCTTTTATATCACTTCAAACACATCTTTTAAATCAATTATTCTTGAACATTTTCTTTTTTGGACCCTTCATACTATTTCTACTCCCTACAATTACCTTGCAATATTACTATTTTAGAGGAAAATATATTTGCATTGACATAAACAATTGTTCGATACTTCTTATGCAAAACTTCTACTTGATATTAGGCTAGAGCATAAGATTTTAGAAGTAGAGAGTTTATTGGAATTATGAAAGGTCAATGGATTTTAATCACATGTACATGAACTACTCCCAGGTAAGATTAATCTTTTTGGTGAGTTTATTAGAAATTTATGGAATTATAGCCCTGGCTGGTATGGCTCAATGGACTGAGTGCCAGCCTGTGAACCAAAGGGTAGCAGGTTTGATTCCCAGTCTAAGGCACATGCCTGGGTTGTGGCCAGGGCCCCAGTAGGGAGTGTGTGAGAGGCAACCACACATTGATGTTTCTCTCCCTTTCTTTCTCCCTCCCTTCCTGTCTCTAAAAATAAATAAATAAAATAAAATAAAATAAAATAAAAAGAATTTTATGGACATACAGCCAAGCCCTGAGACATGTGGAATTTGGTAAGTTTCCTGTCTTCCACAATATGAAGCATTATACTCTCTAACTCTATCCAGTATCTTGAGTCGTACTTTATTAAGAAAATCTTATAGGATTTAACTTGAGGAAAAAAATTGATAAAGACAAGCTACATAGAACAGTTAGTGGTAACAATATTTAATTTCAAACACATTTCTCATAACTGCCTGTTGTAGTTCCTGGCATACAGAAGGTGTTAATGTGAATAGTTACATTTATGTTGGTAACAACTTACCACCACATGGCTTCCTGCTCCACCATGAGCCACTGGCTACTCAAAGGTCATAACTTAAACTTTTTTTCCGAAGACAATAATTTATAAAGTCAGATGCACAAATTTTGAATGTAACAAATATCTACAAGAATTTGTTTCTATAATTATTAAAATA